GGTGTTTGTCTACATGGGAGTAGTGAAGACTTTGTCATTTTCGGAAACAACATTTTTACAAACTGTTGGCGATAAGAACACTTTAATATATTATCAATTACATTTTAAAATAATGATTACAAACAGATTAGATTTTATAATGATTTAAAATATTTATTGGATTAATGTTTTAATTTTTGCATTTTGTCCCTTATATTACATACAGCTTTCTGAGGCCCCCCAGTGCCCCCTGTCGGCCCCCCAGGGGACCACCACCCCCACTTTGAAAACCACTATTGTACACAGCAACACAGATTAGACACACACAAATGCACAACACAAGGTCCAGGATCCCTGACTTATACAAAAATCAGATTACACACACATGTTCACATTAAAGGAGTAAAGTAGAGTAGAGTAGAGTAGAGTAGAGTAGAGTAGAGTAGAGTAGAGTAAAATAGAGTAAAGTAGAGCAGAGTAGATTAGAGTAGAATAGAGTAGAGTAAAATAGAGAACAATAGAGTAGAGTAGAATAGAATTGAGTAGAGAATAGTAAAATAGAGTAGAGTATAGTAAAATAGAGTAGAGTAGAGTAAAATAGGGTAGAGTAGAGTAAAACAGAGTAGAGTAGAGTAAAATAGAGTAGAGTATAATAGAGTAGAGCAGAGTAAAATAGAATAGAGTAGAGTAAAATACAGTACAGTAGAATAGAGTAGAGTAGAGCAGAGTAAAATAGAAAAGAGTAAAATAGAGTAGAGTAGAGTAGAATAAAATAGAGTAGAGTAAAGTAGAGTAGAATAAAATAGAGTAGAGTAAAATAGAGTAGAGTAAAATAGAGTAGAATATAGTAAAACAGAGTAGAGTGGAGTAGAGTAAAATACAGCAGAGTAAAGTAGAGTACAGTAGAGCAGAATAGAGTAGAGTAAATTAGAGTAGAGTAGAGTAAAATTGAGTAGAGCAGAGTAAAACTGAGTAGAGCAGAGTAAAATAGAATAGAGTAGAGTAAAATAGAGTAGAGTAGAGCAGAGTAAAGTAGATTAGAGTAGAGGAGATTAGAATAGAGTAGAGAAAATTAGAGCAGAGAAAAACAGAGTGGAGTAGAATAGAGTAGAGTAAAATAGAATATAATAAAGTAGAGTAGAGTGAAATAGAGTAGAGCAGAGTAAAATAGAATAGAGTAGAGTAAATTAGAGTAGAGTAGATTAGAGTAAAATAGAGTAAAGTAGATTAGAATAGAGGAGAGTAGAATAGAGTAAATTAGAGTAGAATAAAATAGAGTTGGGTAAGGTAAAATAGATTAGAGTAGAATAGAGTAGAGTAAAATAGAGTAGAGTAGAGTAGAGTAGAGTAGAGTAGAGTAGAGTAGAGTAGAGTAGAGTAGAGTAGAGTAGAGTA